TATATATACACATACATACATACACGAGTTCAAAAAACTGTACAACTGAACTTCTATTCTGAATCTAAAGACTTCTGCACCCTATCAGGGAGCCTTTATGAAAGTCTATAAAGCTTGGAACAAATAGAAGTCCAATTGTTTCTTATTAAGTTTTTTTTTATCATGACCTGGATGACTGAGAATCTTCAGCCGCATTATAAATATAAAATTCAGCAGCACGGTGSCTCAGTTGGTAGAGCTTTAGTCTTACACAAGTAGGTTGCTGGCTCCAATCCCAGCCTGGGACCTTTCTGGATGGTGTTTACATGTTCTCCCTGTGCATGAGTGGGTTTTCTCCAGATCAAGTTTCCTCTCACAGACTGAAGACATGCACCTTAGCTTCACTGGTACACACTGTACATCTTAAATAAATGCTTGTTTTGTTAATGATATTATTTTGAACACAATCATTTCTACTCTAGCAACTGAAAGTGGACCAGTTTGTCARGAACTCCCAGCCCACTTTTTCTCCAACATACTTTAAAGGTTAAAAGGATTTGAGTGGATTTTTATAAATAAGAAGTTAAATATATTCAGATGTGAGTAATATAATCAGACAGTAGTAGTTCATGATGTGCCCTCTGTCCTGATCCTCAACAACAGAATATCAGTCATAAAGTGATGTTTTTTAAGCAGCTGGACATGTTTGCCTCTCCYGTGCTGACCTTTGACCCCTGAAACTTTCGTTGGTTGTATTTTTTTAGTTGAATTTATGAAAGCTGGGAGCTCATTAGAGGGACCRAAGAGAGGTTTAGGAGTCAGTTTTCCTCAGCATGTTTGGTTCAGTTAAGTTTTTTTCCATCCAAACTGTGAAGCATGACATTCAAAATGAAGTCCTTTCACTTTGCCTTGTGTCATGAATTTGTCCTCCAAGAAAAACTAGTTGTGTGAACTTTGATAATGAGAACAAACTTTGAAGGATGTGGGTTTTTAGATGATCGTTTTACATTCCTCACTGCTTTAGAATAAAGTGGTTGTGCAGATTGTTGCACCAAACTGCAGAATCTGAATTCTGCTTGCCTCTTCAAGGATATGAAAAGTGAAGWTGGTGCTGAAAGTTTGTTGAGCAACGATCTCGGTAAGCAACRTTGACCTCTCTGTATGTGAACAATGATCTTTTGTTAGATTCGACTGGGCCAGCAAATCTGCAGCTGCACCACCCACCACTTTAACCTTAAGCATCCACAGTTTAATTTATTTTAAATATTAGAGCCGAACAAAAGCACAAGTCCTGCTTCCACCAGCAACCCTGCAGCTAAAATCACTGCTATCAATTTTGTCAGTCTAAGTTCTTATTAAAATATGAGGAAAAGTGCTCATAATGTTCAGATCAGGGTCTTTGATTGATCTGCAACTTATTTACAATTTTAAAGCTGACCCACTTTTAGAAAAAAAAATGTTTCTAACTTACGAAAAAAAAATATAGCAGCACAACTTTGATCTCTCATGTGTAAAATTAATTTATGTAGCTTTCTGGTGATCTGCACTAAGAGCATAAATTTGCAAAACTCAGTACAACTAAAACTTAGTGCCTAAAGGATTAGACTGGACTTCACCGTTATTCATCTTGTTCCAGGTTCAACAGAACCAAATTAGGTTTTAGTACCTCTTAAAATAACAAAATAASAAAATAAAAGAAAAATGCCTGCATCATATCCCCTGTAGCTTAATATCTGTAAATTTGACGAATTTGTAGCCGTTTTTGTCATTTAACTGTGGCGGCCATCTTGAATTGGATTGCCTCTAAATCAGGAGCGCCTAAACATTTTCCTCAAGAGGGCCAAAATGAGAATCTATTCAGGGCTGCGGGYCAAATGCASYAAYACAATACATAAAATACAAATACTTTTTTAGTAAAGTCCTTTATTYYTAACGATTAAGCTAGCAGCCAGTGTGGTGGCCCACTTTTGTTTTAGTCTGTGCGCTTGGAGAAAGTCTGTCATACTCTCAAGCAGCAAAGGYTCATGGGACATTTCATAAATTCATCAAATATGAGTTTTTGTGGCCTTATAAAGTGTGCAAATCTATGTTGTTAAATCAAATCTAAATATATCTTGTTGTTACTTGTATTTSAAGTTTAATTTTAATATTTCAAAGATRAAGTCAGTGTCATGATCTACATTACAGTATAGTTATTGGGCCAATGGATGAATTGACTGAGTGGAAATACTGTTTTCTACACAGGACRACAGGTTACAGCCTATACTGTCAACTGGTGGGCCAGATCAAATGGCTTGGTGGGGCCCGCGCTTTGGRCTCCTCTGCTCTAAATGTTAACAGTATTACATAGATGTACATTAAATGATTACTGTCTGAGCTTCACCTAAATTTGTTCACTAGTTTGTGAGCTATAGCAAACAGAACAGGCTGGTGCACATTAGTGTCACCATTTTAAGCAAATATCTCCCCATGTGTAGCACTGAGTAGCTATGATGCTCACACCAAATAGCTCAATATCTGAAAAACTGCCTGAGCTATCGTCATCTTCTTACGTTGCTTTTATCTACTTCCTGCTCTTAGCTAGTGACACTTTAGCTGTCCTTTCACTATGTTTTAGATTTTTATTAGCCTTGTGCTACATTTAGCTTTCAGCTAGCCTTTTGGTACGTTAGCTCTTAAYCTTTTTCTACTTCTTTTAGCAAACCTTGTGTTTTTTTAAGTTTGTTTTGACCTCTAGCAACTTATTTTCAGCTTTTTCAGCAAATTTCAACTCATTTAGCAATAACTGCATTTTAATGAATTATTGTCTTCAATTTTCCTTGGTTCAGTGAAGTAGCAATTAATCTTTTATGTTAATATCTATATAATGAAAGATTATWTATTTTATTATTTGTCTTCAACAGAGACCAATAATAAATATTGTACAGAAAACTATCACAGGCAAATACTGTATATTCATTAAATTTATTTTTGCTCCTCCTCTGGCTTCCCCCCCGTCAGTGTTTGGCTTTCAGAACACTGCGGCTCAGATATTTATCAACCTTTTATCAATGTGAGCACATGTCAAAGTGCTCATCCAGGCCTCCTAAAGCACTAAGTCAAATCTATAGAAAATTCATGCTCTGAACTTCTGCACGTCTTGCTCTCCCAGCTTCTTGGAAGTACATCTGTGTGTGATAATGGATTTAAAAGAAACACGGACTTGTAATCTAAGCTTGCAGAGGAAAAGGCAGGCCTTTCATACAGCAGACCTTGATCTTAGTTAAAAGCAGCAGGTTTGATTTATGAAAATATGTGCTTATTGCCATGAAAGCTAAAGGAAGCCTCCTCTCTCCAAGCTTTCCGACTTGTCAGTGCTCTTCCACTTCCCTCTCTCCTGTCAGGTGAGTGGTAAGGAAAGGAGAGTGAAGATGAGATTTTCAGTAATTGGTCGGCGCCTGAGCTGGAGCTTTCCAAAAGGGTCTCAAATCAGATCATTATGTTGAATTCACCGTGTGGTTTCTAATCAACCTGACCACACGGATCAGTGAAATGACTCCCTTTGGGCTCCAGATAGGTCTGAGTGCTGACTGTCTTTACTGCAACACGCTAATTAAAACCCAAACCAGTCCCTGCTCGTAATGAAGAGTTWGCCACAAWATGTTTCACTTTAATATTTTTATTTATCGCGCAACATAAAACAATATTGTGGGTTTTTTAACCACATACACTATGTATTCACATAATACACCATACAGCTACAAAGAGAGAGATAGAGACTGAACAAAAACACTTTTTTACATACTGCATCCTTGACATGAAAATAAAGAACCAAGAACAATTCCTACAACTCAAAAAAGAAATGTAGCTGCCACTTGTGTAGGTTCATTTTCATCTTTTTGTATGGGCCAGGGTCTAAATCTTTATTCCAAATTTTCAATATTCAGCAAATTAGATGATAACATTTCAACATTGGGCCATACATAATGAGATGCATTTTTTTCCTTTTTTTCCCCATTTTTTAATGTGGTTAAGAAAGACAAAATATACAAGATTTAAGAGAAAAGGGTTGGGGTGAGGATWTGAAGTGCATGACTAGGGAGAGGATGAGGGCGGCAGTACACAATTATGGAAATGTTCAAATATTTTAGCATTCAGCTAACATGTACATTTACAACATACTTAGAAGAAAAATCTAATGGTTCGGTACTCGCACTGTACCAGAAATAAAACCCAGATAACAGTCTTCATATAATTTGTTTCTACTTCTCATCCTAGTTTCAGTGACTTCAAGTATAACATGGAATGAACAGAGAGAGGATGTAATCAACCGTTGCCCTTGAACAAAGAGATGTACATTTGTAGCGTTGTAACAAAAGACTCGTCATAAAGTCAGCACCAGGGCAGCTTCCTAAACTTCAAAACTGCTCGAATCAAAACTAAAGTTTTCTTGATATTCAAGGAGCTCAGAAAAATATTTGTGGTTATCACTTATCCTTTGTGTTTTTCTTTTTTCTTCTTCCTTTTTCTCACTTTCACACAGTGAATTTTAAGGTGTAGCATCATAGCACCGGTTGTCCGACCCCCACCCCCAACATCCCCCATTTCTCAGTATGTGTTTTAAATAAACTCTCATGAGAACCAACAAGAAAAGGTGAGACATTTAGAAATGTACAAAGATTATAAGATATGTTGTACACGGTATCCTCAGCACCCTTTCTTACAGAAGTGTGTGTGTGACGTCGGACGTGTCCTGTGCTCAGTAAGTACAACAGACCCTGGCCACTGCACCGGTACAACTTCCTGTAAGCCGTGACGTGTGTGTTAAGTTGATGAAATACCATTAAAAGTTAAAAGAAATCCGATAACTTCCAAAGGGGTGTCGTGAGCAGTGAGCGTCCTTAAATATTAGCAAAGCTAGAGCAGACAATATTTATACAGACATCTAAACAAGCGGGGGAGGCAGTCTCACTTACATGATAGTCTAACACAAGTGGAAAAAGATTGGCAGGCTATACTGTMACTCACTAAAACATCACCTTAAATTCACCTCTGTGTTGTCAAAGTCATGAGGACACTGACAGGTTTTTCTTTTCTCAAGATGAAGCCATGATTATATGGGAAACAATCAAAGGTTTTTAAAAAAATCTCCATAATGATAGCACCTAGATACCTGTTGGAATTTAATGATAAATCTGTTGTAGAGGAGTATGGGACCTTCCTGAAATCAGCTTCTGTAAAATACCAACTGGTTTAGCTGTAGGGTTTTGAAAAGAGTAAGTAAATAAATGACATGTAAAAGAGTATTAAATGTGCTGGTAAGCGTGAGTCTATAAAAACAGCATTGATCATCTCATTTTATGTTTAAAAGTAAGTAAATGAGCATATTTCCTTAACTCAAATTACCATTTTGTTCATGGCTACAGGTTTAGACTTGTCTTTAAACACGTCACTGATAAYGTTATTCATTTGTGTTTAAGGTTGACGGAGTCTGTCATTGAGTTTTTGTAAAACTCTAAAAATTTAGACATTGTGTAGATGTAAAGTTTGAACAAGAGAACTGCAGAATGGGTTTGGTTTGGTATGTGGAGGGTGTACTGTCATCACATCATTGTGTGTCTGCCATTTACAGGTCAACAAGGGGTACAGTACTTAAAAAAGTAAAACAGCAGAGTTACTGAGCACAAGTTTTTACAACACGTTCAGATCAAGTGTTGCAAAGAGCTGTCTGAGACTTCAATACACTCCCGTCATCCATGGTTTAGTTACTATCCTCACCAGTTAAATAATCTTACCTAAATAGTTTAATATTTACATTTTTTTTATCTCTCTCTTGAGGAAATGAACAAAGAAAAAAAAACTAAGCTTCAAGTTGTCAATAATCKGCTCTTTCTTTTTGTCATTAAAATCAAGATTAAAAGTGCTTTTATAAATTTTTTCTTCTCTATGTACAATTTGTATTAGCTATATAAAAAGATGAAAAACGCAATAACATCAAAGACAATCATTATCATAATCACAATGTAGTAATAAATAAGAGTAAAAAAATATATAAAACAAAAGCAAGTTAAAATGAGTATGGGGAACCTAGAACACACGGGGGGCGGAGGGGGGAGACGTGCAGGATTTTCTGCCTTCAGTAGCAAGTTGTGATTGTGACCAGTGTCTCTACAGCCTGAGGTAGAGAGCTGGAGGCCTGTGGGAGAGCAGGGCGCTGAGCCAAACTACTACTCCTAGAGTCCTGTCATTTCCACACACACTGCAAGCAAACTATGTGACTAAAGTAAAAATGAGGACTCAAGTGGTGCTGTCAAGTAGTCCCTCACTTTGGTTTGTCTCTTTCACACACCGGTGTCAGTTCAGGTGAACCTCAGTCGCGTACACAAAGTGAGAGACTAATTGATTCGTATCTGCTCCCTGAAGCTACAGTAAGTTCTATGGTTCCTCTGTTGATGTGTTATGAGGAGAAGCGATGACTGRCTGTGCTTTCCTCGCTCTGGACAGTAGCCTTTCWATTTGATCCGCAACRATTWCTTCAACAAGAACCAGGTTTTAAGTCCAACAGCAAAGCTGCAACCCAAAGAGCAGCCACGTTAGCTAGGCTGGCTCTGTGGCAACAAGGTGCCTGTGGAAGGAAACGCCTCGCTCTGCTCAAAGATGACAGCACCATGCAGAGGAAGGAAGAGGGTCCTTCACGGTAAATCAAGTGTAGTAGGACAGCACCAGAGTGTGTGTGTGTTAGAAGCACCAAGAGCACTGCAGTCCCGACACTTTTCCTCTGCTGTAACCCAAGATCTGCTCAGATGCAGCTCTGGTCATATTTGATCCACGGTGGGACAGAGGTCGGCTTTGCCTTGAGCTGCTTTAGCGAGTCCCAGCTATGGTCAGCAGACAGGGTGAGATCCCCCTCTGCTGGCTGTGGGYGGCTAAAGCAGCAAAGCAAACGCTTCACTGGTTCAAGAACCATCTCAAGTGCRTGTTGAAAAAGAAGACACTGCTGCCCTCTAGAGCTTATGCTGGGAAGTACTGAGCCCTAATCAAAAGTTKTAGGAAGATAAAAAGAATTCCACCTGCTCCATGTCTGTGTAGTAACTGCACATCAAGAGATATCAGAAGCACAGTTTTCACCATGGAAGAAAACTGAGCAAAGAACAGCATTTTTCTACCCTTGTCTCTAGACAAATGTTCCTTCCCYGGATCTTAAAACAATAAAAACTGTTGTTCTGTTACCCCACCACCTATTTAAAATACAAGTATTTACTTGCCTGCAAACACTTCTTGAGCCAAACTGGAATAGAGCACCTAAATACTGCATCAAATGCAATGAAGAGTAGCGGACTAAGAACTGATCAGAGCCAGAGTTTGAGCACCAGTAGAAAGCTGGAGGAGTGCAGATAAGCAGGAGAAGCACATCATCTAGCCAAGAGACAGGCAATACTGTGGTTTACCTGCAGTCTGTTTTGATCTTGGCAACCAGTCTCTTTTTTCTATTATTATGATTGTTATTACATTTTTTTTATCATTCCTGTAAAACTTTTCTTAGATGTCAGTGATAACATGCTGAAAAACTAGGCTAAACTTCACACATTAACTTCTTTAAACAGACATGATTGTGTATTGTGTTCTTGATTTTCTGTCTGATTGAATAGATAATGGCTCCTCCTGTTAGTAGAGTTTTTCAACCAATAAGGAGAAAGAAATTTAAAAGCAGAAAAAAATGGGTTACAGTTTTCCAAATAAGTAAAAAGCAATGGTGACTCAGACTCGTCAATTAAAACAAAAACATGAACAAAAAACAATCACCTCAATAACATTATTAAAAACCAGCAATAAGAAAAACAAGTGTTCATTATAGTAATACCTGTAATAACAATGACAGTAACAAGAGCAATCATAATATTATTGATAATAATAGCAATTGGGATCATTAAAATTCTATAAACAAGAAAAAAAGCAATGGAGTTCCTCTCTGGGAATGAGAGAGAAAGAGCACCACAGGCAGCCCAAACCACTGCCTGACATGAGGTAAAACACAATGAAAATGTCCCTCCTCCATATGGACTGTGGAGAGGGGCAGGATGGAGAGATGCCAGACTGTGAAACAGCAAAAAGACATTCATCCTGCCTTCTACAGCCCTCCACTGCACCACTATGTTGCTTTCAGTCTTTCTGTGTCCATCAGGCCTCAGACGAAGTGACTGTAGGGCCCAGTGAGGCGAGTGAAGGCATAGGGAGACACTGTAACTACAGAGGTGGTGTAAAACGTGGAGGATAATCGTGTCACTGGCCCGACTTTCTTGTCTTTAGTTTGTCCAGGTCCTGGGCTGGAACCTGTGACTGTAGCACCCCATTTACGTTTCTTTCCGAGAGTCTTAATGTCCTCCTGGGAGAGACCGAGGAGAGCTGCTTCCTGCTGCCTCTGAAGCGCTCGCTCTGCCAGCAGCTTCATTTTGGCCTCCCACAGAGCCAGGCCGTGCATTGGCTGGTTGAGATTCTTGTGCTGGTAAAAGACCAGGGAGATGCGAGTGGGGTGGGAGCGATCGGGCTTTTTAAGCGGAGTAGTAGCATGTAGTTCCCGGCGAGCACATTCAATCAGGATGGAACCGTGAGCTGGTGCTACTGCTACACCACCAATGGTAGGATCCAAGAAGTTGTGTTCACTGTCAGACCATACCTCTTCCTCGTCTTCTTCATGGTGCTTGGAGCTCTCAACGTCACTCTCAGCCCGGCAGGGGTTGCAGTAGGCTTGATCTGATTGCTGCAGGGCATCAGGGAAGAGGCGACCCTCGGGAGCCGGGGAAGGAGTGCTRCCTGCCACTGAACCTCCACATGACTTCCAGGCTTTTTCTTGGAGCCCAAGGGGAGTGGAACACCGATTCTCCCCGGTTTTGGACCACATCTTGTCAGGGTAGGCTCCTGCAGGATTGCTGTGCTTTAAACCAGGGCTATATGCAGCAAGCCCTATGCCCCAAGCATTAGACTGAGGGCTCGGAGCAGGGCTGGCCCAGTGCCTAGGGGTGACTGAGCCTGGAGTGCCTGGGCCTGGAGTGCCAGAGCGTGGGGTGCCTGGGCCTGGAGTGCTTGGGCCTGGAGTGCCAGAGCGTGGGGTGCCTGGGCCTGGAGTCATTGGGTGTGGGGTAACTGAGCCTGAGTGAGAGGTGCCCGGCTGTGGTGTACCTGGATGAGAGGAAGCATGGCATGTGGAGCCTTGGTATAAGTTAGCCTGGAGTGCTGTGCCAGTGTGAGGGGACAGAGGTGGAGRAGAAGGTACTTGGATTGATGGATTGGAGGAAGCCATTGCTGGATTTGAACAAGGGAAGGATGTCCACTGCTGGGGAAAAGCAGATGACTGTCGCTGCTGGGAATGCTGGTGAAACTTATCCAAGTTCAAGGAAGAGACTTCTGGACTTTGTCTACGATTTAAATGGCCATCCCAGGTGGTAGGATTAATACTTCCATTCGGCTTGTACCCTATCCAGGCTGCAGGTTGGGGGGTGGTTCTTGATGTGTTGGCACCAGTCTGACTTGGCAACGCACCTTCATAGACTGGCACATCTAAAGGCTCCTGTTTGATGAGTGGAGTGCCTCTGTTGGAGGACTCAGAGGAGACAGAAGAAGGACGGGAAGGGTTGAATTCTGATAGTTGGGTGTATGCAYTGGGGCTGGATTGGGTGAGGTGCTCTGGGAGGTTGATAGAGGATAGAGACAGTCTGGCCTGAGAGCTCTGAAAGTCAGGCTTTTTGTCTACCTGAACAGGCTTACCTCCTGGTTTGGGCGAAGAACCATTTCGACCTTCATAGGTTCTCAATTTGCGTGGGAAAAGTGCATTGGGTGGGTAGTTGTAGTAACTATAGGGCATTGTGGGCAGACTGTGGTGGTAGCCATTCACTGTGTCAGCCGGAGAGGGCTGGCCTGCGGGGGAATGAGCTCCCCTTGCATAGTAGGCAGGATGTTGATAAATATTTTTGAAAGGGTCTGTTGCTTGCATGGGGTATCCATCCATTGATCCATTAAATGGCTCCATCTTGATGTTGGGCTTCACTTCCTGTTTTATAATTTCTGATTGTTCAAAACAGGAGAGAGATTARAATTAAATCAAGCATTCTATTACTGCTTTCAGTTATCTATTCTATTCTTAATTTTTTTTTTATCTTACTGTTAGGCATTTCAATTAAGGGAAAACAACAGTTGACCTCAACTGAAGTCRTTATAAATAACATGAAAACATAAAAATACAAGAGAATAACTAACCTTTGTTGCCTTTGAGATCAGCCGAACTAGAAATGCAGAGCTCAGCCTTGACCACAGTTTTTTCTGGGGTCTCCCCTGCCTGGTGCATGAGTTTGTTCTTCTTCTTCTCCGATGCTGCCTTCTTGGCTTCCAACCGACGCTGTCGACAGGATTTGGCAGGCTCTGGCAATTTGCGTACCTCACGACGGAAAGCCTGAAGCACCTGTATGGCTCCAGTCTTCATTTTGATGCGCTGGGCTTCTTCACTACCAAACTCATCAGTTTTTGATAATGTGTAAAGAGGCAATACATGGAGCTGCTCGTCGTCAGGGATTTCGCCTACTTTTCGGTTGTCTTCCTTGGTTAAAGTGCACACCTGACAAAGCAGGACAAGTGAAATGTACAACATTCTTTTCATTAAGCTTTTCTGCATTAAATTTTGAAGACTCACTCTAAAACAAAAGATTTTAGACAATGATGAGAAATCTTACCACTGTGCAGCCATTGTGGAGATTATGCTGGTCCTTATGAGCATGGGCACAGAAATCCATACAAGCAGTAATTCCAGAGAATGGACGGCCTTCCTTCAACCCCAACCTACAGTCTGGAGCTCGATGTTCTGCCTGGCACTAAATAATAGGACACAAAGAATTTCAAGACAGCTATAAATATGATTTCAATGTATTGGTACTTTTGTACAATGGAGTATTAGGGCCACACAACAAGATTTTTTTTCAATTATGAGATTAAATTCATAATATTATGAGAAAAAAGTCATAATATTCTAAAATTAAAGTCATTATACTACACCCTTTACAAGAAAAAGCATGCAGTTATGTTGAGCAACTTGTCGAGTTGTTCTTTAGTATTGCTTAAAATAAATCTTTTTTGCACATTAGCATCAAATTATCAGTAGCAGGACTTGGAAATTGTGCAAACAACTATTTGATAAACTGAAGCCGTATTGTAATTAATAGATGCATTGACAGATTTAGTCACGTAGCTAATTTGGATAAAAGCATTTTACACTAACAGTGACCCGAGTCATCATGGACTAGTTTTTAAACACAGAGAGAGGCATGACTGTCCAAAGCAGGTGTGGGGAAAATAAGGAGGAAATGAGGAATGGAAAATGGACACGTCATGTAAGATTATGACTTTTTTTCTCATAATATTATGA